ACTGTTTTCAAATAGTAACCAACACAGAATTAAATACTCCACTATCCTAAATTATTTTACGAAAACAAAAGTTTGTTTATGCATCAATTAGGTAAAGTATCACAAAAATACACTAATTGTAGACAGACATAACAAAACTGCCATTTAAAAAGAAGGGAATCTTGACTAAATGGGAAGGTAGCAGGACTAAAAGCACAATTTAGACCAGAAGGCTGGAGAAGAGCAAGGATTAGTTTTTTAGCCTGTGCTGACCTGTCTCCTGAAAGTAGTCCCATTGATCCCAAAAAGCCTTCTTACTGTGGAGCTAATAGACAGCCTAAATACAGCTGTAAAACTTCAAGGAGATGACTTATTTTTTTGGTATCACACAGTCACTGAGCTCAGAACTAAATTCCTACAGGAAAATTTCTAAAATAATCTAAAAGGAGGAATTCTTACGATAGAACGTCTAAAATATAAATTCAGAGTACCTATTTTTCACCTTGTTTCATTTGATTCACAGAAAGGCAGCTTGCCATGATGGACAGCTTATGGTGTTACTCTGCTTCACTGTGTGGAAGATGGAGCAGGTTTAGCTGGATTGCAGGAGCTGTGCCAGCTACAGGAGACAGCATAATCAACCCTTGGCAAAACCTGCCTCATCATTCAGCCGAGTGTCTGCCAGCCAGAACCCCACTGCTTGAAGGATGGTAACACTAAGGAGAGACTTTCTGGAGGGGAAATTAAAATTCAGAAAAGAAAATAAGACAGTGATTTTTCTGGGGTTCATCAAGATTATAAAAGACTTCTTTTCTCTCGATCCTCCAGGAAATGCAAAATTTTAAATAAACCTGGGATTTGTTTCATTTGGATGCTTTAAATGATTCCTTTGAGCCTGTAAGGCCTGTGGTCCCTGAACAGACTTCTGCAGCTGCTGCACCTAATTTCATTTTGGCATGGAAAGAGGCTAGGGCATGCCTGTGTAGTGCAGTCTCGCTCTTCTCCCTCAAGCAGGAGCTAGCACCATGATTCAATAAAATTTAAAAGTGCCTTTCATCACTTAGATTTGTACAGAGTGATTACAACTTCAAACAGAATGAATACAAGTAAAGAAAGCAGAGCATTGTTTACAGGGTGACAGCTGATTGGCAGGCAGAAATATAATTATGGATGATAAAAAAGGGAAAATGGAAATGCAAACTATTGATTTCTTGGACTAATTTAGAGCTCTGTTCCTGATGTTGATCAGCAAGGCATGTTCACTTATGATAATCCAAGGGGAGTTTGCAGTATTCACATGTCACTTAGGACAGTGAAGGTTAAAGGGACTTATTTTTCCCCATCCTTGTTTTTCTTGTGATCGAAATACATTTGAAAAGAACTGCTGTCTGAAATAGATACAGGATTTCAGGCTCCAATGTAAATTGGTAAACACTGTCATAATAAAAATCAAAGCAAAGCAATCACCAGCAATTCAAAATCCCCAGCATTATCTTGGATATATGGATGAAAATGTGAACTCTGCCAAGCTGTTTTAGCCTAGTGCGGCGTAAAAAGCAATTTAATATGGATCACAGAGAAGTCAGAAACCAAGACACTGCTGATCCAGAGATCAGCAATCACTGTCAAAGCTGCTGTTTCATAGCTCTTGGCCTCTTCTGCATTGGACTGCCACCCAGTGCCTCCCTCCCAAGCTATCTGGAATTCGCTTCTGGTTAGAAGGAGGGGTGGCAGACACACACCCCCCATGACACCTAAGTTGAGAAAACACAGAAAGGGCTCTCCAGTCAGTTCAGTAAGAGACAGATAAATTGAGTGAGGGAAGGTTCATATATATTTTGTTTAAAGTCTATTAAATATATCTGAATTCTGACAGATTAATGGTTTGCTCAGTTCCTGCTCCCCATGAACAAAAGAAAGATGCTGACCAGCAGAGCACCCTGAGCTCTTCCACAGACTCTCAGACATTCTCTCCCATCAGGGGCCAATCATAGAAATTAGGCTAAAATGAGGGGCTTTTAAAAGAAAGCATACAGGAACCTTGCTCTGAGTTGATTATTCTTCATTTTTAAGCTGGCAAGACTGATAAGTGAAGAATATACTTTCAAAGTTCAACCTGCAAGGACATTTCACATCTTTCCCCCATCTGCTTGCCTAGTAGCATCTGTAGATAATACCAGTTTTCAACTCATTTAATATCCGTGGCATAGTGTTAAAAAACAGTTGTGAGTCCTTGGTCTGGGCCTACGAAATGTGGATTTCTGCAACTGATCGCAATCAAGCACTTCACAGCATTTAGTTTCTAAGAACACAGAAGGCCAGATACATTGCTGAATACAACCAGAGATAAATATCCTCTCTTACTGAAAATCAGTAGCTTGAATTCTAAAGAACTAACTTACAACTTAAAGAGCATTATTTTGCAAGATTATCTGCCCTGATTAAATACTATTCCAACAAACAGAAGAATTAGGCCTTCAAGATTGCCGGCAACAAGCAAAATCATCTATGTCTACGGGACTCAATCACATCCAGCATCTTACTCTTCCCTCTTCTGTCCTCCTTACGGGATTTTCATGATGCTGCAAGGCAGTTTCACTCTGCAGAGCAGCAAGGGGAGTAAGTTCACAAAAACACAGCAGAATTTAGCAGTAGAAATGTCGGGAACAAAATTCAGCCAGCAAGCCTACTAGCTGGAGACAAAAGAAGCTTTTTATCTGGGCAAAGGCAATTTCAGAATGCCAAAAAGCAAAGCCTACTTAGTGCTGGACTGTAGAGATGTGGCCTAGGGAGGCCAGAAAGAGAAAACAGCACACAAAGTGACTTTATATGACTTCAAATTCTAAGGAAAAACTTCTTCATCCATCCAGTTTGTATGCACAATGGTAACTTCAGGAAACTGTTGTTAAAAAAAACTTCCTCAACTTTCACCACTTGAAAAAGTAATAGCACAAGAATCCCTTCTAGTCTCTAAATACGTGAGTTTCCTTCTGAACTTTTGGAAATTCAGGGCAAAACCTCTTTGAGTACCTATAAAATCTCAAGTAATGCATTCCTTTTTCCTGGAGGGCCTATCTTAAAATGTCTCTAATAATGCCAAGAGTTGATGTTTCCACAAAGGCGGTATTAATGCACAAGTGAAGTAACTATCTTGTACGAAAGCTCAAATGGAGTCAAATAGACTTGCTGTAAAGCAGAACTAGCCATGCTTTAGAGAAAAGTGTTTTGCACCTTTACTTTATGTAAACAGGTGATCTTGAATCCTTTAACATCTAGATGGAAACCCACACATAACATTTAAACCTCATTCCCATTGCTCATAATATAGTCTTGAAATCCATTATGTTGGTCTTCCAATATTTTGTTTTTAAAATATACTTAAATAGACATTTAATAGTTTATACCTTTGAATTAGCCCTAGTTTTGAGCAGAAATTTGATGAATAATTTATTTTCCTCTAAGAACAGCTCACGTTCAGAATCAAGCATACCACTCCTTATTCAGTCACCAAATTATTCTGAATAATTTGTGACCCACACACTGTGGGGTAATAGTTTATTGGGACTATTAGAGTTGCTCTGACTTTATTCTTAAACACTAAGAATTTTTGGCACAAATATACTGGCAAATTCAGAACTTAATCCATGAAATCATAATGAAACCCAAAGGTAGTCTTTTTCAGCTTTATAAAAAAAATGGCAGAATTAAGCCCAAAGTCTTTTCTGATCACATAAGACATGAAACTGAAACCAAGATAAAGAGCCAGAGAAAAGCTGTATAGCTTCATGGTCCTCTGAAATGACAACTTCATGTCAGTCCATGTTATATAGTATTTCCATCTTCATCTGGTATAGTGACTAGTGTTAAAGACAGCCTTTTTCTGCTATTGCCTAAAATAAAGTACAGTATACAGCATGCTATATACACTTGTATCAGTGATAGAGAGTAACACAAATAGTCTTGCAAACTCTGTTAAAAGAAATGGCAAGCACTGTTTTTATACAACTTAATTGTGCTGGCTATAGATGGAGCTTTTCCTGTTTTTCATGCCTGATAATCTGCATTGCAGCTATGTTGCTTTTTTTTTTCCCCTCCTCAAAGCTCTTTGAAAGAAAGGACATTACTTAAAATGAGGAGAAAGTAATGCTCATTCTAACACAACATACTGGTAACCAAGTCCGCTAAAATACGGATTTGCATAGATCAGAAACAAAGGAGCATATTTTAAACATATTGCTACCTGTAATCTACAGTTTGGAATTCTTAAAAAAGGAGCAGGTATTTAGCATCAGATTCTTGGTTATGTTTGGTTTTTTGTTTGTTGGGGTTTTTCCCCCTCTCCAATTGTAGTCTTTGCTTTTTTGGTATAATGTACAAAAAAACTGTAATCTGCCCAGCTGGAACATAAACATATTGCCGACTTTGATGAATATCATTAAGTACTAGAGAGCTCTATAATGACGCTATTGTCATATATATTTTTCTCTATTAAAATCTCTTAGCGTTGATGACAAAGATCAGTTGATTATAGCTCAGTTCATTTTTTGATATAGTATTAATCACATCAACTGTTCTACAGGCTGAACGTCTAGTTATCATAAGGTACACCTGCAAAAATGCGTATCTCTTCTGTTTCATTTTTTTCCTTGAAACAAGCTCTACTACGATTCCTCCTAGCATACGAATTTCAGCAGTTCTTGCCTGTATTAAGAGTTTAATATAGTATGTGTTATTCACCTAGGAAACCTTCCTTTTTCTGCTTTATCAGTTAAGATTTCTGCCTTTTACTGACTTGAATGAGGAACAATCCGTTACAACTACACAAAACAAAATCATACTGCTCATTTCTGTCAATCTAGAATCCTAGAATTTCACCACAAATCTTTCAAGTGTGTTAGATATTTAGTCTAAGATACTAGACATTTAGTGTAAGACCTCTCTATAAATAAAAAGCAGCAGTCTCCAACCTGCAATGACTGAATGACTGACTGAAACAAAGGGAGGAAAAGAAATAGTCGTACCGGTGAACTCCACTGTTGCACATAATGATGTGACAAGCTCCAAGCCGGCTACAGAGTTCAGAAGACACTGAAAGCAATCCAACTCCGGAAGCACTGCACGCAGTGTACGCGCAGGCAGCGGTGCGCTTGGATCGGATAAAGGACCCTATCAGTCGGTAAAGTTCATCCAAGCAATTGAGAGGCCTCATCAGCTGCAAGAAAGGAAGAGAGAGAGAGATTTAAATATTTGCTACTGAGCGCACATGAAATGCTCTCTTAGAGTAGGTCACCACAGATGCAGACGGAACGGCAGGGCTGGCTGAGAAAGCCGAAGCCAAATTCCGTAACGTAAATACACAGCACACAGTCTTCTGTTACATGACCTATGACAACTTTTTCAAACTTTTAAATTCTTACCGTCACTGACTGTTTCATTCCCAGTCCTGCCTACAGAAGTGTTTTTCACTTCAATAAACCAAATAGACCCATCAGTCCCATTTCCATTAATGGTATTGCCAAAGAAGGGAAGCCATGAAGAGGCAATCTACAACTGTATGCACATACAGGAGGGATGCCAAGACTGGTTAATTGACTCGCTGAGAAAATCAGCTTATTATTAAGACAACACTGTCCTTTATTTATACAAATGTCTAGTTCCTAATCCTGACTAACAACATGGAAAAACAAAAACGAACAGACAAAAACATACTACAAAGCAAGAACAGTTAACTTTGTAACAGGACTTAAAATAACCTCAGCATTACCATATGGAAAATAAACGATCCACCTAGTAAAGAAGGCAGCTTCAAGTGGAAGGCTTCAGAAAAGGAACCTTCAAGAGCAGTCTAGTAATGAAAGGCACCATCTCATAGTGCTTTGTATAAAGGAGATGTCAACAAGACAGTTTTGCAGACCTCATAATTCCAAATTCCCCATTCTTTTTCTTCCAGAAACACTTAAAGATTCCAACAAACCCCCCTCTTACTCAAAGAATCAATTTTTTGAAAGACAGTTCATTCCCTGAAGACAGTTTTAACTAATTAGGGAAATGGCAGCCTCACTTGCTCCTATATGAAGGTTACTTCATTGGAAAGCATAGAGGTCAAGTAAATCAATTCTAACAATCAGCATACTTAAACCTGGGCACGAATAGATTTAACTTGGTTTAGGTCCTATTGCTTTAACTTGCATCCATTTAAATTAATTTTAACTGGTGCCATTTACTAATGCAGAGCTATGGAAAATAGAGCAAAAGTCACAGCCACAAATTGAGATCATGCACTCACTCTTGGCTTGCTCCAATTGCAAAATAAATGCATTAGCTTAACCTAGCATCCCTTGGTCAGATCTGGATTATGAGATGCTTTTATCTTGCCCTTGAACTTTTCACTGAAACAGATAGGGAACAGGTTTAGGGGTAAAAAGCACTCCATATATAGCTAAATATTTCCTGCTGCACCTATGACTGCTTAGAAAGTTAAGTTGCTGACTCAGCAGGGAAGGAGAGGCACAGGCACATGTCCTCCTCCCCTCCCATGCGGTCCAGCACAGATCCAAGAAACAGGAACTATCAGCCTGTTAACACCCACGCTGGATGATATCGACATAAAATTTTAGTCTGTCATAGGGCTCAGCTGATGATCACTGTATTTCTCAAGCGACAGTAGCTCAATCACTTTTGAAGTCAGTGTAGGCAAGACCCTAGGAACTTCTTTTTTCCCTTACTGGGCTGCCGTATGGGCATTAACTCTCCAACAATAGGAGAGCGCATTAAATGAATTTTCATAGCCCCTGGGATCTCTCAGTCACAGAGGTTTAAAGACAGATGAAGGCATTTGAAGAAAGCCTAAATGAGGAGGTTCAGAAGAAAGCCTTCTGAGTGGGATGCTGAAGTATTTAATTTGGAACAGCCCTTCCAATTTTCAGAACAAAGAATTTCTGCTTGCACCTGCTCTCCCCCCACATGCTCTTGGAGCAATCGCATTGCTCTGAAAGCACAATGAAAAATGAAAGGCATGGTTCCCCTTCTCAGATACGCTGATGCCCTCCAGCCACACCTTTTGATACAGAACCACATGGCACCACACACCCCTAAAACACGGGTGGGACAAAATGCTGCAAGAGACCTCCTCCTTTCCCTGCCCGCCCCCAGCTTTAAATGATTCCATTTTTTGATGGAATTAATAAAGCCTCAGAAAAGAATTACAATAACAGTGTGTAACATGCAAAGTTTAATTAGGCACTTAGCATTTTTATTTACCTTATCTATATAAGCCGCTTTAGATGTTGAATTTGGAGGCAAGTTCGACTTGTCCAGGTAGAATGCCCTGAGAAAACAAAAAGAGTAAGGCAAAACCTGTTAATTGTTTAAACTTCTGAAAAAAATGTATGTAGGTGACTATTAGACACCGTCCTAAGGTTGGAATTTTTTGTTTTTTAATTTCATCATAAGAGAGGATGAAGGAATAATGCATGGGTAAATAGGCACTAACACTCTTTCTTTTAAAGTAATAAGGAACGTTTTTCTTGTTCTGGAGACAAACTGTCCCTCTGCCCTATGAAAACACAGTGCAAAATTTTAATCTCGAGGTAGTAGAAAAACTGGATCTGAAAATTATTTTCACCAAAGGTTTGTGGCAACTGGCTAGATTTTAATAGTGACTTTGGGAAACTTGGCATGTAAACAGTGCCTGAGCCTCATGCGCTACAAGCTTTTTTTATATTAGCTGTATATAACTGCAATAATATCAGAACAGAATCCCAAACATGAAACACAGTACTGAGAGAGGAAAACATACACAAGCTCACAATATAAAAAGAAACAAAAAAGGAAAAAACAAGGGGCAAATATACATCATACAAGGAAAATGACGTTTGCAATGTGTGCTGTCATGCATGCATGTGTAAATAAAAACAAACTGCCTTTCTTTACAATTTCTGCACACTTCTTTGAAAATGAATTAGTGCATGAAAGGAGAAGCCGAAGAAAACTGTCATTTACCTGCAGAACACAAATGTGATAAAGAAAGCATACTTACTGTATCAGGTTTCTCTCTTGTGTACTAAAGCTTGTCAACCCTCATTCTCCCAGTTCCTTCTATAACCTTTCACTTATCAATGAATGGTACCATAAAAAGTTTATATAAAATAGACAAAAGCAACATGCACTGTTTTAAAAGATAAAGGTTTGCTAATTCCTGTCTGGCACAAAGGAGGCTGATATTTGTACAGAGGACTTCCATGCTATCCTCCTCTCCTAAAACAGGAAAACTTCTCTTACTCAACACCAGAAAGGAAGAGCTTTAGCAAAGAGCACACGGGAAGCACGGAGCTCTTCTCCTGTTTCCTTCAACTCAGGAACCCTGGAGGAGTTGTTTTTTTTTTTTCTTTCTACCTTATAAGCGAATTAATTGCTCACCACAGATGAGCTACCATTAAACAACTCATAGGCAGAGGAAATATCTTGCATATATGTGTGATAAGATCACAGTGTCGCTGCCTCTGCAGCATCGCTTAAGGAAAAAAAACATTGTCCCTGCCCATGGCAGGGGGGTTGGATTAGACGATCTTTAAAGGTCCCTTCCAACCCAAACCATCCTGTGATTCTATGATCACAAAACTCATTCTGCTGGTTGAAAAGCTCCTAAAACCTGCTGGGGCAGCTGGAAATAGAAACACGTAGTAGGCTTCCCTGGCTGGATGAGGCATCCAGTGAGAACCAGGCAACAGCTACCACTGCAGCAATTCTGGCCAAGGTTAAAATAAAACAAAGCAAAAAAACCGCCACTGAACTATGGAACGTACAGGACAAAACCAGATTCTCCAGTGGAAACCTCAAGGTATCACTACGATCCAGCTCCAATGCCTGTGCACAAGGAGCATACCTGACTAAAGGTCGCAGCTGAGCCATGACTCAGGATGGAATTATGGCGTGTGGTAACCAAATTTCAATTGCAATAAAATATGAAAATAAACACTGAAAAGAATGCAACCTTGCATCCCAACTCTCAAATGACAGGACCACCTGAATCCTCCAGTCATGAGAACATTGATTCATATAACACACATGAACAAAAATCCCCCTCCCTGCTTTTTATGGTGTTATCCATGAGTGAAGTTATCCACATAGTTACATGCTTGCAAGGCAGGGGTGCAGACTGCAGATTTGAATAGCCCTTTATTCTTCAATAATCTGGAATAACTGAGCTGATAAAAAAAATCCAGGCACCTTTAATTCTAGTAGATTTTGCTTCCCACAGCTTTACAGTTTTGAAAAGCATCTTCTCCCAAATTTAAGATTTGAATTAATCCCCTCAGAAAGCACAGCAAAGCTAATCTAGTTCTGTTATTCCATTAAGCCTGTTGCACGATCCAGAATGTACTCTGTGTCAAAGGAAGCTGGAGACCGTTGGAAGGAAAAGTTTTGCAGAGAAAATTACTCATAAATCACTTTGAGCGGCCACAGCACATAAAAGCTATCTCAGCAGCAACAGACCAACCATTTCTTTGTTAGCAAAGCTAAAAAACAAAGCATCACCCTGCCATCCACTGAATATTATCGGACTGAAAGCCTATACTGTTTTTTCCTGCCATGCCACAGGAAAATCTGCTTCATTCAGAGTCTGTTCAGCACTCCCATTCTCTTTGGACTGTTATTCCAGCAAATTCAGCTGCATTAAATGAAACCAGAAACTAAATATAGAACAGTACACACATTAATGGAGTACATGGAAAATAATCAACTCAGGGTACAAAATGAGGCAACATGGACACTAGAATGGGATATACAATTATAGGAATTACTCCATTAATTCAGTCAATTATTCATTAACCTAAAGAACAAACAAAAATCAACTATACACAACATTAATTTTAAATATAAAAATATCCTGTTACAAATGAAACTATTCCCCCCCCCAATCTGATAACACTCCCAGATGTTTCTCAAGTGCTTTATTTTTATTGCTTTTCATAAAAACGGTCTTCAGTATTTTACAGAACATGACAAACTGTGGACAGCACATAAATTTCCAAAGCACTTCACTTAATTACTAAATGCTTGTTAAGGTCCTTAATCATATTTTATGGGAAAAGTTAATGGCAATCTTGGCATGGTTCCCAATTTGGACAATATTTTCTAATCCATTTGAAATGAACAAGAATGAAATCATAGTTCTTTGTCTGCAAATGTGATGCTGGTTTTGCTTCCAAAAGCCTTACAACTTCTGTAAGCTGCAGCAGAAAAGCCGTTCTTTAAAAAAAGGTAGACAATCCAATAGGCATTAAAACTACAGGGGATTATTGCTGTGTTCCACTTCTGTAAGATATCCCCTATGTAACAATGTCAAAAAATGGGACAAGCATCTCAGGGAAAACTTACACTGGAATGAGGTAACAAACATCTTAGGGTTCAAAAAGAAAAATCTATCACAAGATGAATGCTTTCCCAAGATGTTTTCCCAGAACTTGAGTACAAAGGAGATGCAGAAGTACTGATGTTTTCTTAGTGAAGCATTTTACAGGGTACCCTCCAAAATTGACCTGGAAATGTAAAATCCTGAAAATTTGAAATATTGAAAATTGAACCCTAAGGAGGCTCCAAACATGTAGAGATATGCATTCCTGAGTAACTTTGTACACACAAATAATTCAAGCAAAGCCAAGTTTCTGGTCTCACTCTCAGTTTGTTGTTCCAGGAAGCCCATAGGGTTATCCTAGATGTTGATCATCTTTTCTTTGAAATACAAGGATAGTGCAGAAGTGATTGGAGTGGGGGGGAGGGGGGAGGGCAGGTAATTGGGTTATGGCATTAAATAAAGGCAAATTGGGGGTTCTGCTCTAGAAAGGTTTTGCTTTGATGTTATAGCAGAGGAGAATTTAGTCTTTTACATTTTCTTCATCACTGTGGCATACATATAAATAAATTCATACTGTCTTCAACGGAAGGATGGAAATATATTTTAATTCTACTTGATTTTCAATCCCTTGGTCACAAGATATTCAAGATCATGTAGATAAGCATGGTCCACAACATGGCAAAGGATGCATCAGTACAGAGGTGCCGAGTCAGGAAGTGCTAGAATTAGTGTCCCTAATTCTTTTCTTCAGCTCAAACTACAAAGCATGTATTTATGACATAGGTAAATAATATCGCTGTGTATTTTCATATAAATGCACAAGTGCTTTTGTACTTCTTTAATAACAATTCCGTGTTCTGCCATCTGGTTGTTTACTATATAGGTGAGCATGTCTATAGCACATATTATATATATGTGTACACACACGTCTGGAAATACATTTTTATATCTATATATAATACAGATATAAATTCAGTTGTTTCTGTAGTACGAAGTATCCATTGCAGAAAACTATTTGCTGTCACAGCAAACAAAACTAAAAGTGTTTTACATGTTCTTTCCACTAAATGGTAAGTCTCAATAAATGATAAATTACCAAGTATAACTACACTCTCAGCCCATACTAAGACCCAGTGATTTTAAATGAAGTGTCCTAACATCTCTGTCAGTGATACAATCCTATGTACAGTGTCATTAGTAGTTAGAGAAAGGTTTAATTATAACGAGAAAACCTTCATGACAGTATCACGATTTTAAATTCTCCAAGAGCATACATAGTAATATTCTGACCTTTCACAACTATTGTGCAAACTGAAGTGCAGAACAGAAAATTTTAACACCATGTGGCTCTGAACTTACCATAGGTAATTCATATTTCATGTGTAAGCAACTCAGTAAGACCTTCCTTTGTACTCAGCACTGGTGAGGCCGCACCTCGAATACTGTGTTCAGTTTTGGGCCCCTCACTACAAGAAGGACGTTGAGGTGCTGGAGCGTGTCCAAAGGAAGGCAACGAAGCTGGTGAAGGGTCTAGAGAACAAGTCCTGTGAGGAGCAGC